ATGCTCAATTTCATTAATGCACAGGCATGTAACATAATGCCTTGCCTGTATCACAAATTGATACAATGGAGTATGCTTCAATTCCCCATCAATGACTCCTCCAGAGGAATAACATGTTTGAGAGATCACAGTAAAAAGATGATGAAGGTGCAGGAGAATGATTGTGAATCTGATAACCACTGACATCAGAATGTTTACAGTAAACACACCTAAGGATAAGCTAACAGCAAGAAAATAGTAAGGACAGAAAGCATAATCAGAAAGGTGTGATGAAACAGGAATGGGTGAGGTCTCCAAAGAAAACCAGAAGATAGTTCATAGGATCACAAGAATGTCAACCATATTCTAAGTGCTACAAAACCAAAAATTTCAGAAGAAAACAGGCCATTACAGACTATAAGCAATGACTTCAACTAAACTATTGTGATGTATTACAAGAAAAAAAGAAAGAACTAAATGGAAACAGTGAGTATATAGCATTCATTTCAGACACTTAGTGGGAAAATTATTTCTATCTATGGTGTGAAGAAGACAAAATGAATATTACAAGAAAGCACCTGATTTTCAAATTCAAGAAGCGTTTCTATGATACAAATGATTTCAGAACAAGCCCAGCATACAATGACTTACTGGACAAGATCAATAGAAACTGTGCAAAAGAGATTATACTGTTCAGTGATCTATGTTGCATCAATATCTATAATGGAATGAGACAAGGTGATACAATGGCCCAAAGCATCCTGAAATTACTCTTCAACAAAATTAAATAGGAAAATAAAGTTCCCCACAGACACTAAGTGAGTAACACACCCTCTTTTTTCCTAATAAAAAAAGCATTTCCCATGTCATATGAAATGTAGCCCTATACTAGCTAGCATCAGAACAAAACTTAATGCCTAGATAATAAAAGATGCATGCAACAAACAAGGCTCTGTGAATATTACTGCCAAAGACATATGACAACACTATGTGATTCAACAAATGAACAAAAGTGTTTTGTTCAATGGACAATGGCAAAGAAACAGCAGGTCATACCACTTTATTGGCATAGAAAGAGTTACTAGATAGCAAACCGCTAATGAAGATTAGAACACTACTTAATTTTGTCATAATAAGATTAAAGTGAAATACGAGTATTTACATCATTAGCTGAAGGAGATAAACTGTCTGTCATCTCGTTGCCCATGGTGTCCTGAATGTATGGAATCTGACAATATGTAAACCTAGTTACTAAGGCTTCTCTCCACTCCAAGTACAGATGGATCAGCAAGGTGGCCTGCCAATAAGACAACAGGTGGCTCTCTCAACTTACTTATTGCATTTGTGGCTTCATTTAAAAAAGATATTCCAAACAATTTCGGTGTTGATTTAGTGAAAAGACATGCGGTCTCCAACAATCTCAACAGAATACAATTGAAGACAGGGAAATCTTTCTGGTGTTGATTTAGCGGGGATCTTGCTCCAGGAGTTAGAAAGGAGTTCCAAGAAACAGTCACTGCCATTAAGTACCGTGGATTATCCAACATGATGCCAAATTAACCCTTCTATTAAGTCTTTAAATTGTGTATGAAACATGGTTGTCTGTATCACCCTATGCCTCCTTAAGCAGAGCATGAGTTATCACTCAATAACAGCACACAGAGCAAAGGAAATACTTAATTCCCTTTCTAATAGTATATATTAATGATATTAATTATTATATTGTATTTTATTTAATGAGTGTCTCATTCAGTGTATTTCTACTGTGTGATGACCATATTACTTTTTCAAGGTAAGGATATCAATTTCACAAACTGCTTTGTTTAGCATATTTGCCTATTGTTGTGTTTATTTGAACTGGAATGCAAAATACAAAATGAGTGAACAACAATTATTAGAAACATCTGTGTCAGTGCACATTCCACACTGCCCCCCAATCCCAATGCAATCTAAAAGTGTAGGGAGTAAAATAAAAGGGATTCTTAATTACTGATAAGCATAAATTCCACTACTCAAGAAGATACAGAGGAGTAACCTGGCTTCTAAAAAAAGTGTGAATCAATCACCATATCCACTTATATATAAGATTGTAATACAACTATGTTGTAATGACTTAACTTTTTCAAAAGATGTCTATTAAGTAGGGGTTTCTGTGGCATTCTTTTAAAGTTTGTGGTCATAATTACCTTTAAAACAAAGGACCTTAGTATATAATTTAATTAAGCAATTCTACTAATTAATATGCCACATAGAAAATGCCGGGTGGTGGTGGCACATGCCTTTAATCCTAGCACGCAGAAGGCAGAGGCAGGCGGATCTCTGTGAGTTCGAGACTAGCCTGGTCTACAAGAGCCTCCAAAGTCACAGAGAAACCCTGCCTCTAATCTCCCCCCCCCAAAATAATCCACATGGAAAAATTGCACACAGCTTATATTTCCATATGAACTAGAATGGATATTTCCCAATATACAATATCTTTGGGATTGACTTACCTTATGACAAAATGAAGTGTTAAAAAGCAACAAAATAAACCCAGCCGATTTAATAAGAGAGAAGATACCATATTTTGGTCAGTCATTAAATGCTGGAGTTTATCATTGCTAAAGGCCATTACAGCTGAATCTGCAGTACTTAGCCACATTAAAAGCTTTTTTTAAATGAAGTAATCAATGAAGTTGAAACACATAAACACACATATTGCAAAAAAAACCTACATGAAGCTTATCACTAGAAAAAATGCATGTATTTTTTCTTTGAAAGTAAGTTAATCAAATTTCTATTCCTCAATCTTTTCTACAGTTTGTCCCACTGACTCAAAATTTGATGTTTTATGATTCAAGAGAGGAGCAACATTGTTATCTTCCAATTATATTAGTACACAATATGTAAATATATATCCATTTATACTATGTCAAATTGTTTATACTATTTGTTCCCAGAATTTTTTTCAATGACTTTAAAGCCAAGACTTCTTTGATCAATTGTGATTTTCATGCTACACAGCTAAAACTAAGTATTAAGATGTGTAGCTACAAAAAAATGTTTAGGTACTATACTATACACACACACACACACACACATACACACTTAGATATATTTATACATTGGATGTGACCATTAATTTTAACTGTCACCTTGACACAACCAACAATCATTTGAGAGGAGACGTCTAGATCTAAAATCTTGGAAAAGTGAAATCTATTGTAATAATATATGAACAGAATTCCTAACTAAATATAAATTTCTTAAGTTGCATTCTTTTCCCAAATATTCCCAATAGTTCATTGTATCCAATTTTTCTTAATGAGATTTTTAATAAATTTTATTTAAATTAGAAACAACCTTATTTGTCACATCAATCCCAGTTACCTCTAGCTCTCTTCCTTCCACACCCCCCACCAACACCCCGCATTCCATCCCCATTCACTCCTCAGGGAGGGTGAAGCCTTCCATGAGAGATGATCAACATTTGTAGATAGTATACTTAATATTCTATAAATATGATATATACTTAATTGCTTAATTAATACTACTATATACTTAATTACTTAATACTACAGTGCTATGACTTTATAATATTTTGCTCAATTTTAGTTTTGGTTTTCTATTTTATTAAAAATTATTTTAAATGTTTACTACTCATTTACCATATAGGAATGTTAAGATATATTTCTTATCTTTATTTGATTCTTTTTACCTGTACTATAACACTTATGACTTTCCAGACCTTTAAATAAACTCAGAAATCCTAGTTCCCCAATGTTTAAGACACAACAGAATATTCAACAATACTGGATACATCAGGAAATTCTAGGCCTGAATATCTTTGACAACTGTACTGTATACTGTACTTTCTAGGTTTGAACACATTTTGCTTAAGTAAATTGCCACATCCTCCCATTAATTCCTGAACTCTTAAAGCAGAAATAGTGACTTTTTCTGTGGGTCTCTACAGTATTTTGTTCCTATTATGGTATAACTTTTAATATAATGTATTATCAATACTTAAGATGTCTGGTATTTCAATTTGTGTGAGCTTCCAAGAGTTCTCAGCTATTACTTTACCATCTTTACAGCAAGAGCACTGAAAGCCAATTCAGCACTCTAGGTTTTGAAAATAATGCATACTGAATTGAAGGTTTTATTTTCTGATACTAAAACTGTCTTTATTTGTAACAAATTGATAATTATGATTATTTGATTATATATGTATGTATGGGTGCACAGATGTGTGATAAGCATGTATGTATGTACACATATCACTATAGATTCTTACAGAGGGGAGATGCTTTTGATTCCCATGGATTTGGAGCTATAGGAAGGTGTGAGCCCCCACTGAAAACTCAGATCCTCCACAAGAACAATACTTCTAGGATACTCTCAGCCTAGATACATGGGGGAGAATGATTCCCCCATGGGAGCCCAAGGCCCTGCCCTGGATGAAATTACAGGACTCTGGAGATCCTCCATTGAGGGTCTCACCTTCCAGGAGCATTGGAGTGGAGATTGGGTGGGAGACTGGGGGGATTGGTTCGGGAAGGTGGGGGAAGAGGGGAGGGAGAGGGAGCTGGGATTGACAAGGGAAGCAAGCTTGTTTCTAACTTAAATATAAAAGGGGAGAAAAAAAACAGGTTTTATTCTACAAAATGTCACAAGAATTATTCTGATTAATCAAAAGATGGCTATATTAATATCTTTCAAAAATAGGCATTAATATCCAGTTATATTTAACAAGAAGATACAAGGTATTGTATTTTCTCTATTCCAATATGAATTATTTCATATCCAGGAAGCTACAAAATAAGAATGAAAAGAATTTCACCATCAAATTTGAATGTAAAAATTCTTCCTTAAATTTCTGTTGCTGAAAGTATGGTAATAAAAATGTTGGAATAATATTCTAGTGAAAAGATTCCAATTTTTGAATACATTAAATATAATAATAAATCTACAGACTATCAAATAAAGGAAGCAATACCCAGATGCCAAAGAGGATAAACATCAAAAGCAGCAGTTCTGACCTTGAGTGAAGATTAACTTAAGCTTCAATTTATAAAGCCTCAATATGGAGGAATGGAAACCATGCCATGGGCCTGAACGAAGTGGAAAAATAAGAGAAAATTATTCTGGAAGCTATTCTGGACTATACCTCAGTTTAACATCAAATTAGACATGACTGTGCTCATCTCTCTGGGGGCTTGAAAAGAAAATTGTCCATATCAATCCTTGATGTGGAATTAAATAGGAAAAATCCTTCTCTGAGAATCCATAAGTAAAATGACAACCTGGATACGGCCTAAACTCACAGATGTACATCAGTATAAAAGAAAAGCAAAAGGAAAAGTTTAACATGATCCTAGGTTCTTAGAATCATAGCAAATGAAAGTTAATCTGTTATGAAGATCAGTAGCCCTCATTAGAAGATTTAAAATATCTACAGAAAAATGTACAAAGAACACAAATGTTGAAGATGTACAAAGAAATATAACAAAGTGTAATTTAGCACATATTAATAAATAATAAATTAGTAGATTTGTAACAGAACCTAATGAAATTACTTAAAGGGCTTAGGAGAAAATGACACAATGATTAAGACATGACAATTACTATACTTCTTATATTTGAAAACATCTTCTGCTGTGTTCCCAAGAGGTAGGTAGTTATCTGTGTGTTTATGTGTGTGTAGGTTAAAAATGGTACTCACCAGAAAAAACAAGGTAAACTCATTAAATGAAATACAGAGGCAAAGGAATTATCCAGAGTATAGCACTGATAGAATATGAGAAAATTTAAGAGAAATGAGCTTAGATTAGAAGGTATGTTTTAATAATAATGTACCTTCTAGAATGTGAGAACACAAGAATGGTTGAGATATATATAAAGAGTCCACGTGTAACTTGCATATTTTTACATACTATTTTGTACTTATAAAAGTAAATTTTTATGGGCCATGAATTATAGGAGAGTGACAAGGTGTATATAGGTGGGTTTGGAGGAGAAAATGGAAGAATGTAGTAATTATATTATAATCTCAAAAGTACAAAGAAGGTCCATTTAAACATTATTTATATGATAGGGTATCTGTAGGCAATTATATTAATAATCATTATATATAACTTAGAACCTGAATTAACATTTAAGTTCCCAGTTTATCGAGTTTTAATTTTTTAAAGAACAACTAATTGTAGGGGTGATTTTATAAAATTCAGATTAACCCAAGAATCTTGCAGAGGCTGTCTCATCAAATTATACAGAAAGTCATCATCTCATTCTACATGTATGATTCTAACACAAGCACAAGTCACATGGCTTCAATTTTCCTTTACCTTGTTAAGATAATAATATGAATATCACATTAGTCATAGAAATCCATTCACCTGTGTACTAGGAATGGAGATATAAATAAAAAGTTAAAGTAGATAAGCCATTAAATGACTTGAGGAGGAAAGAAAATAAAAGAGAAAAAGGGAAGAAAGAAATGAGACAGAAAGACAAGAAAAAAAGAAAACAAGGCAATACTATAGCAGCAAGATATCAAGAAATAGATATTGCCTAAAATATAAAACTAGAGGATAAGTATCTTTGTGCCCATTTATGTTTCTGCATATTTTATAATTCACATTCTGGAAGCATCTGTTAGAAACATAGCCATCCAACCCATCAAGCCATCAGCTGTGTGATCTATTCAGTTATTCCCATTACCACCAGGAAAAAATGCAAATTGTATAGTTTTGTTCATAAAAAAGTCTATGTTGAATTTCTACCCTCCCTGCATCATAAGATTTAACAACCGTGACAAGAGAGATTACACAATTAAGAATTAAAATGTTAATACTTTAATCAGTGATAATATCACCTTTCTCATATGATAGGTTACAAGAAAGGGAAATTGTGATTTTCTATAGGAATTTCAAGACTCCTTAGATAAAAAATTGAACAAAACACTAGTTACATTCACATTTTATATGTGTGATATAAGCTAGGTTAAAAAGAGTCCCTTATGCATTTATAATTACTGATGCTATTCTGCAGGGAAGGCTGCTGACTTTTGAACACAGAACCGTGTGTAGGCTATACAATTGCTCTACCATGTTGCTATTATCATGGTCTAAAACTGGTGCTCTCAACAAAATATTATCTCCTTAATTCCACACGACTGTAAATATACATCACTCTACCCTTAATTAGATAATTAAAATTCAACAAAAAATTTGGCTAAGCATATTTGATGTACATGTAGTCAATGGAACCATAAAAAGTAAACAAGAAAGAAAGTGACATGCTTTACAAAGATGAAAAAAAAAAAGAGTTCAATGGTCATGGACTCTGAAACCATGATACCCAAATCAAAAAAAAAAAAAAAAGATGAGACAAATCAAAGGGGAAAGAAGTACTGAAAGTCCTAAATCAGATGGACATAATAAAGAGGATCCACAGGCAATGATCTGGCTTAATGTAACATTCAAATAGCAAAGCAAAGTTCTTTTGTTCCCTTAAGCTAAGTGAATGTGTTTGTATAGTTTCACAGACGTGACACATTTTAATAAGCTCCTATGATAACTCCAATTTCATTGTTAGTAATAAGATTATTTCCTTTTCAGAGGATGGGAAAAAACAAATATCTAAACAAAAACTACATGTTTAATTATTGTTAGTAACTCATGCAGACTGGTTGATTCCAAATGAAATTCTTTTAATATGATCTTCCAATTATGCTACTGTTGTTTAACGAACTATGTAAGAATACATGATTATTCATAAAGCAATGGAAAATAAAAGGAAAAGAAGACTCAAAATGCGTCAATGAAGGGAAAAGACAAATTGAAAAGAAACAGTGGCCTCAGACAGACACTGTTTGTACATGTCAGAAAAATGTTTCTAACAGCAAACATTTAAACATCACTATCATAATAGAGAAAAAAGTCTATCATTAATTTCAACATATACCTCAGAAAAAACTGAATAATTATTAGGTGGGATTTGAAAATAATGTATCTACAGACAAAACCAATTAGAAGTATACTTGTTTTCGGTAACAGCTAATGCAATGGTACAGAAGAAAAACATCAAACACCATCATGTTATAAAATTTCAGCACAGGCCAGGTTTTAACAACCTAATGAATAATGTAATGTGGCACACCAATCTAATGCAGTTTGTAAGGAAAGGGCATGGACTCTACCATGAACTTCAGTGGAAAGAGCAGTAATTCTAATGAACATAAAAGCCAGAGAGCCCCCTGTACAGTGCTTTGCATATGGTAAGTGCTCAATTACTAGCTCTTGTCAAATAGAAAGTACGTGAAGTTCATGATTGTTTCTGTGGATCACTGTGTGCCTATTTGCATTAAGATCAGTTAGCATGCCTCAGAGAGGATCGGGAACTAAAACAAACACAAGCAATTTCAGAAAATAAAGCAGAATATTGAATTCACTGAACATGTGAAAATTTATTTGAGCAAATAGCATTTCCCAATTCCAAAGTGTTTCCAAAAACAACAAAAAAAATCACCATTTAGAGAAAATGCTGCAAAATTCTGAAGGTGTTAATGTTGGAAGTATAAAATTAAACATAAAGTAATTTAAGATGTTTGATCACTTATTATCCTTCATGGTGAATTATTAACGTTTTGTATAGCTGTAATGTTTTGAGGTAGAAAAATACCCTGACTCCTCACTAAAACTCTTAGTCTAATTCTGTTTGATATTCTCATTTGTCATTTAATTGAGTTAATGAAGCAACTCAATTACAGTATTAATGCATGGCTAATAGACAAATCAATATTTTCCATATGTTTGTTCAGGTAAATATTTTATACTTCATAAGTTTTATATACCTCAAATTAAAAATATGAATTACTTAGTATCAGGCTTCTATTAACACACACATACATATATACACATGTGTAAAAATACATGTAAGTTTTAAGTTATCTATATAGTGAACACAGAAATGAGTCACACATAAAAATAAAAGTTCAAAATTTACCTTAAAGAAGATGTAATGGACATAGACTATGCTGCTTAAAATGATCTAGTTATGATGAAAAATAATCAACATGTAAGTGGGAAAATAAATAATGTTGTGGTAGGTAGGGACCAGTGAAACAAATAAATAGGATTCTACAGATGAAAAGACTTTCACTTATAATAATAAGAAGTATTTTGGAGACAGATGCAAGATAACTTGATGATAAAGGTCTTGGACTATGGCTTCTAGATTTGCTAAAGAATTGTGAGGAAGACCATTATTTTACAGTGCGTGCTTTAGGAATTGAGGCCTTAGCAGATAAAGACCTTTAAAAATATAGTAAATATTGTTGTGTGAACAAAAATCACTGACAATATAAGGAAATGTAAAGTATATCAAGAACCTATTTACTCATATGCAGAATTTAATTGTAAATTCTTTAGACACATTCCATATTTTTGACCAAAACATCACAGTTTCATACCACATAAAAATATTTTAAAAGACAAAACATTATTTCATGTTTTCTTTGATGTATACTCAAAATCAGTTACAATATTTAGTAAATGAAGTAACACCAATATCAGCAAACCATTCATTCATTTTTCTTTCTATCTACCTCTATATAGAGATGTCAAATTTTAATTTGATGATATAGAATAAAGCCATTAACATTTAACTGTGGTAGAAACTATGTCCAAAGCAGACATGTTTCTATTATTCTGTGGATTACCACTGCATGATGATTGAACATGATGTCTTAATATCAGAAATATTCATTTAAAATTATATCAAGTAAACCAGTTTTATTTACAGTACTAGCAGCATTGGCTGAAATTGTTTGCCTTCCCTTTAGCATTTTAATTTAGAGCTTTCTAAATGCAAATTAGGGGAAGTCTCTGCTCAGAAGATAGAGAAATGATTTTCCATTATGAAATAACTCTATTGTATTACTGGTGTTGTTTTATTGGTACTCTATATACACTGAGCCTTCATGTATAGCCCTCAAAATACTTTGTAAATATTAAAAAGTATGGATATAGTACTGTCTACTAAATTTCAGAAATGTAGTACTAAAACTATCCACCAGGAAAGTTAAAAAAATTATATTTTAAGAATTGAG